CCTTCCTTCCTCCCTCCCTCCCTTCCTTCTCTAAAGTGTACTTTATTCAGATTTCTTACTTTTTGCCCAATGACCTTTTTCTGTCCCAGGATCCTACCCAGGATACCACATGCCATTTAATCATGTTTCCTTAGCTCTTCTTGACTTTGAGTTTTCTCTGCCCTATGTTTCAACCTGTTTTGAACTAGTTTTCAAGAGATGCTCTTTTACTTAAAATTTTTAAAATTCTTTATTTAAATTCAATTTAGCTAACATTTACTGTATTATTAGTTTCAAGGGCAGAATTTAGTGATTCATCAGTTGCATATAATACCCAGTGCTCATTATATCACCTGCCCTCCTTAATGCTCATCATCCAATTACCCCTCCTCCCACCCCCTCCCCTCCAGCAACCCTCAGTTTGTTTCCTAAGGTTAAGAGTCTCTTATGGTTTGCCTCCCTCTCTGTTTTCATCTTATTTTATTTTTCCTTCCCTTCCCCTATGTTCATCTGTTTTGTTTCTTAAATTCCACATGAGTGAATTCACATGATAGTTGTCTTTTTCTGGCTAACTTATTTCACTTAACATAATACCCTCTAGTTTCACCATGTCCTTGCAAATGGCTAGATTTCATTCTCTTTGATGGCTGAGTAGTATTCCATTGTGTGTGTGTATATATATATATACATATGTATATATATATCACTTTATCCATTCATCTGTCGATGGACATCTGGGGTCTTTCCATAGTTTGGCTATTGTGGACATTGCTGCTTATAAACATTGGGGTGCAGGTGCCCCTTCGAATCACTATGTTTGTGTCAATACCTAGTAGTGCAGTTGCTGGGTCATAGGGTAGATCTATTTTCAACTTTTTGAGGAAACTCCATACTGTTTTCCAGAGTGGCTGCACTAGCTTGCATTCCCACCAACAGTGGAGGAGGGTTCCCCTTTCTCCACATCTTTGCCAACATCTGTTGTTTCCTGAGTTATTAACTTTAGCCATTCTGACTGGTGTGAGGACATATCTCATTATGGTTTTGATTTGTATTTCCCTGATGCCAAGTGATGTTGAGCATTTTTTCATGTGTCTGTTAGCCATTTGTTTGTCTCCTTTAGAGAAATGTCTGTTCATGTCTTCTGCCCATTTCCTGACTAGATTATTTGTTTTCTGGGTGTAGAGTTTGATAAGTTCTTTATGGATTTTGGATACTAGCCCTTTTTCTGATAAGACATTTGCAAATATCTTCTCCCATTCTGTTGGTTGCCTCTTAGTTTTGTTGACTGTTTCCTTTGCTGTGCAAGACTCTTTTATCTTGATGAAGTCCCAATAGTTCATTTGTGCTGATTCTGCATTTCTAACAAGATCTTGGATGGTGATGCTGCTGATCCATGGACCACAATTTGAATAGCATGATTCTAGAATAACTCATCCCACTCTTGTCACCCTTGCTCTGTGCCCCTTCAGTTTGTACTATATTTTGCATATATAACTGGTAAAACCTGCCCCATTGGGTGTGTGAGTGGAAAACTGGTCCTTCTCCTCCTATAAAGGATGTAGGTCCCTTTTGTGATTCAGCCTGCTTGACTAGCTCCTAGCACAGGCTGGACCACCACAGCTCTTCAGGGAAGGAGAATCCCATTCTTAGTACCTCACTTCAGCTCCTTATTCAGTTTGCTCTCTGATAACCTGCCATTGTGCCCCAGGCTACAAGGACCATGCCAGGACAGCCAGAAGGGGAGGTAGTTTCATCAGTACACACAGAACTGTGTAAAGACAGTCCTCTCCCTGTTTTGTATTGAGACTCAAGTCACTAACATAGACTTTTTCTCAAGTTTTATTTCTGGGTTCTGTGTCAGAGTAACCTTAGTCCACTGCCACCTCTTCCCTTATGGCTAAATACTCTGATTCTTGTAATCCTTGGGCTCCTATTGAAAATTAATCCACCTTTTCTCCCTTTCCATTTCAAGGATTTTTGGCAAAGGCAGGATGTCTAGAAGGAGTCACAAAAGGTTTGACTGTGGCCTAATCCTTGGACAAAGTTTGCTAATTTGTATTGTGTGCCTTAACTGAGAGGGCCACTCTGATGACCCTTCAAAGATCAGCTTCTCTCAATGAAAAGAAACTGTACTCTGCTACAAATATATTGCTTTGTAATGTTCTCTTATTTTGTCTGTGTATGTTTCAGTTCCAAC